AAAAAAAAAATCAAAGGCGTTCAAGCTCGCAAAAAGGATGCAAGATATTCCCACGAGCTTGTAGGTTAAGTCCATAAGTTTAGTCGCAAAAAGACATACTTGAATTTGTAAACCTTCTACAATGAAAGCAGTTATGAAAATGATGTACGAATAGTTATGAAAACAATGTACAAACTTACTTATTTGAGAGTTCAAAGAATAAAACTTCCTCAAATTACTTTTTATTTCATATCTACTTCATGTTTCATATCTTTGCACCAATATGAAGATGACACTTCATCTTCATTAGTGTCGTTAACATAAAATGACCCTCTTTTATGAAAACCCATGAAAAATTAAGTCACGGCCTATTAAAGCATTTTAAGTACAAGAATAAAGCTCAAAAATTAAAGAGCACAATGCATAATATATGGCAAGAAGATATTTATCATTACCCCCAAAAAAGACTGGGGTAGTAAAACCTTCCAAAAGTTGTCCACAAAACACAAGGGAATTCCAACTAAAAACCAACAAACAAACACTTTCAACAAAAAAACAGGAAAGGGGAGAGCTAAGGAGCATCATTAACAGGAGAAGAAGGATTGACTTGAAGAGAAGAGGGTTGAACATCAGATTCACTAGGAGCAAGTCCATCTCCATCACCCTTAGAACCTTCGTCTTCAGGTGTGGAAAAGTTTTGACGCTGCTGAGTCTGTTCAATTGTTTCTCTAGCCTTAACAATCTCAGTGTTAAGGTCAAAACCTTCCTGGCTGGCTTCAGTTAAAGTCTCGAGGCGAGTGTTCAAAAAAGCCCAGATAACATCTAGTGATGACTTATCTTCAAGGGCTTCATAATCCTTCTCCTACTGCTCGATCTCAGCTTTCAACTCTTCTTTTTCCGCCTCCGAGGCTTCATAAGCTATCTTCAAGGGAGCGAGAGAACTTTCAAGGAACTGAACTTTATTTGAAGAGGCACATAGGTCTTCTTGAGCTTGGGTAAGTATCTAAACCAGATCACCCGCGTAAACTTATTTTTGATAAAGGAGATCTTTCAAACTCCTTATCTCTTCAGTAGCCTTGGAATGTTGTTCATCAAAGGAGGATTCCAATCTATCTTTGTCTTTCTCAACTTGACTGGAAGAAGCTTCAGCGGAGATCATCCTCAGTTGTTGTTCCAAAGGTCCTTTTTCCTCTGCAAGAATATCCTTCTCCAACTGAAGACTTTCAAATTGTTCTCTCTGGTTGTCAGCCTCGGTGCGTAACTCAATTAATTACTGGTCAATCCAATAAACCCTTTTTATAAGCTCAGTGTCTATCAAATTAATCTACAAAAAGGCAAAAGAATAGTCGTTACGAATGAGGAAAAAAGAAAGAAAGGGATATAAGTAAAGTTATACCTTAAGAGAAGAATGAACGATGTCATTCAGTAAAGTCAAAGAACTATGACTCTCCAACTTCTTCTTTTCCAAGGGTCCTAACAGTGTCTTCAACCACACATCAGCTTGTCCAGACATTCTCAATAAATTCCCACCCTCGAAGTAGGACTAGATGAGGGGATTGACTAAATTACTAGCGTATTCATCAGAAATTTCTAAAGGAACACTCTACGGTTCATAAGCGAGTCTGAATAGAATTGAACCTGATGGGCAATCTTGGGAGACAGGGGTTTCATCATCTGAAACCACGCATCTTCTGACACACGGTTTTCTCACCAAGGAACCTTCCTCGGTATCCTCATCATCATCAGACCCACGAGCTTCGGTAGTTTTTCTTTTGGAAGAAGAAGCACTCAAGATATGCTCTTATACGGAGCTTACAAAAAGCCTGGTTGAGGGAACAAATGCGGAGCTAATGCCGCAAATGGCAAACCCTAATAAAAAGGGGAAAAAAAAAGTTGTATATGAAGAATTAAAGAGGGAAGAAAATCACGAGAACAAAAAGGTATCGCGAGTCTTCACTTTCCAACCAAATATCTTTGAAAGAAATTTCCAAGATCTTTTGTCCGTGGGAGTAGCAGTTAACATCTTTTCTACCCAAGTACGAAAGTCAGGAATTTCTTCAAAAACTTTCATGGTTGCTGAAAAAATTAAAATACGATTATGAAGGGGAATTCAAGATATCAAATAAAGAAAAAGAGGAAAAAAACTTACGTGCAAAGTTCTATTTTTCTGAAAAATACGTGTTTTCTTCACCCATTAATCCACTGGTGGGGACAGCAACAAATCGGGCATACCAGCCACGGTTACAGTCATCCTCATGGCTGACTAAAACCCTTTTACTCTTAGCCACGAGAGAAAAGATACTTTCACAAAACAGCTTAGGAGAGTGAAGATGAAGTAAATGACGGAAAGTAAAAGGAGCGAAAACCAAATCTAACAAATAACGAAGGCATGCCACTGCCCTCCATACAATGGGACCAATTTGGCCAAGGCAAATATTAAAATAGCGAAAGAACTCAATGATCACTGGGTCAATGGGAGGTTTAAATCCTAAAGTGAAAGGGTAAGTATAACGAAAGAGAAGCCAGTAAGGTAAGAAGTGATTCTTTGGTTGGCACCAGGAATTAAAACTGGGAAATCTGGTTTCCAATGACATTCACGACGAACTAAAGAGAGAAGACCATGAGTGATCAGACTTGGGTAGTGTTCAGCAGGGTTAAAGGAAGCTATAGAAGAAACTTAATTTTTCATGGCTTCACGATCTGATACAAAGGAAAACTCTTGAGGAACAATCTCAGAAACTGTAGGCTCACGCATGGGTTCATTCTGATCCATGTTCCTAGAAGAAGATCTAGGGGTTAAAGGGACTCTAAGTCTAGAAGAAGATGGCTTGACGGAACTACTTTGGGAAGTAGAACTGCGAGTAGATAACGAACCAATATTGCAGAGTCTTCCACCCCTCCCACTTCTAGTAGCAATGGTAGAAAGAGCAAGTTCGTCGAGATGACAACTTTACGAGGGTCTGGTGATGAAGAATACATGTTTAACGAAGAAAATATAGAGGAATACGAAGGAAGGTCAAGGAGATGAATATAGCGAAGCAGGATAACGATTTCAAAATATCAAGTGAGATGAAGTATTTATAAGGAGAGGCAACCATCATCAAGGTTGATCATTATGAAGCGTCATAATAGAACCGTCACTTCCTGACTGATGCAGCCGCAAAAAAACCCTAAAAAAGCGCTGAAAAACTGCATAACCAATCAAGTGAAGCCACGTGGCATGGGCATTAAATGGATGTGACATACGTCGCATCGATTCTGAAAATAGCATAATGATACTCAAGAAATGGCGGCAAAGAATTCCCTCCATAAATACTTATCACTTACCGAATATTCAGAAAGTGGGGGGACTTTCTGTATTAGTGGAAAAAAGGCATGACCCGTGCACTATCATCGAGGTGACAGGGCATGGTGTGTCGACCATCAATATAGCGACAAATTGCATTCTTAATTAGACGAGTTAAAGAATGCGAAAAAAGGCACGAGAGGAACACCCTCGGGGTTACACTAAGAAAAGAGCCGGACCTGACAGTTGCAAAAGGAGAAACTGGAGTGGAATGAATAAAGACCGTTAAGAAGGGAAGATGCACGAACCTGTCATAAATAAGGAAGGAAAATCGATACGGTTACAGAAAATCTTTAGCCATAAATACTTCTGTTACAATTGTATATGGTAATGAGCAGTGTTTTAAAAGGCGTGGATGTAAGGCGATGCATTTTACATATGCCTCAGCGAGGCGTAATCCCCATAGGTATTTAATTTTTAATATTTTATAAAATATTATAATTAAAGTAAATATTTATAAACAAGTAAAATTGCATAAAAAATAAAGAAAACTATAAATATGTGAAACATATATATATATATATGTGTGTGTGTGTGTGTGTGTGTGCGCGCGCGCGCGCGCGCGCGCTTCATCCCTACAAAAAACTAGTCAAAACAATCTATTTTACGCTATTTAGAAGCTCAAGTAACTTGAGTCGAAAAGAATAAAGTTTTCTACATGAAAGAACAAAAATGATGACTAACCTGCAATTTGAACTTTGAACTTGCTGCTATGAAGGAGAATAGAGTTCTCTTTGTATTTGTAAAAAAAATGAATATTCGTTGCTTTTGGGAGATATTAGCAGACTAGCGGACAAGATAAAAAATTGGGAAAGAGCATGAATTGAGGTTTCAATCAATAAAAAAAGTCATAACTTTTAAATTTAATACATTTCAGTTCCTTTTTACAACTTTTGAGTAATTACCAAGCTGAATTTTGAGAATTTGAGTATTATATGAAGGACTTATTCAACAAATTTTATTTTAATTTGAAAAAATCTTTGGGGCTTACGCTTCACCAAAACAATACTCCCCGAACGCTCCGAATTGCTGGGCGTACGCCTCTTGAGACTTTCGCCCCACACCATCGCCCCAGGGCGTTTTTGGTGCGCCTTGCCCCAAGGCTCGCCCCGAAAACGCCTTTTAAAACACTGATAACGGGTAATCAAGGTAATTAATGCCATTAGTGAGCCCGAATTAAGTAAGAAAACCGTTATAGTTGTATGCTCCTATATAAGGACTGAAACCTCATTTGTAATATCATCGAATTTTTATTAAAATTTATGCAATCATTCTTTACTTTATTCTCAAGGTTGTAAATCGCAATTTGGGAGTGATTATGAATCTGTTTCATATTTTCTTTGTTAATTATTTTTATTTCTTGATTTATTCTTCAAATTATTGAGAAAGTGAAGTAAATCTTGGTTATCGGTAACCCAATATCTTCTTGATATTGACTTTGACCGAAAAATCTATTTTTGGGTTAAACAATAATCCATTTTAAAATTTGCCTTGCCATCATGTATTTTTATTTCACATAGTGTTCAATTAATACGATGTGATAAAAATAGAATATTGAAATTAACCCAAATCGCATTTATAACTAGTTTGTTTTTCCTCGAACAGAATAGTCATTGCCCAAGGATGGGATGTCGGTCTCAAACTTAAATCCAGGATCGGACACAAACCTCCCCTCTTGAACAAATAAAAACCCATGCACTTTTAACTGGATGAAAAACAGCACCATACAAGCCACGAATCAAACCGACTATACAACCCACACTTTATGTATATACGACAGAGACCAAAAGAAGTAGAAGTAAAGAGGAAAAGCATTCTCCAAAAATGTACATGTGTAGGGGTATAGATTCCATAGAACTAGGTGCAACTAGGTAAAAAGCAAATGTAGCACAAGCATATATATAAACTATCCTTTCCTGACTACAATATTCTTAAATCTCTAGTGGTATCTCGCGCTGCACATTTTGCTGCAAATAGCCGGGGCTTTCCGGCCTATGCTCCTCCACAGCAGTAGTAGAGTCATGGGGATGCTCCTTTAAAGACTCAAACAACTCAACAATTCTAGTAACTGGCACTGAAGTGTCCTCTTGCTGCTCCTTCACTGTCTCAATTCTGTCCACATTACCTGCAGGAACAGATATAATGTATAGTTGTATATAAAAGATATAATGTATAGTTGTATATACTTCAAGAAAAACTGACATATTTCTAAAATTTGAAAACAATTTAACTTCGGATTTCTTATTTTATTTATAACTACATAAATGTTATAGCATATTCAAATCATCACTATCTTTTAGAATTTTTATGATCACACCATTAATACTATGGTATATTTAAGTCATAAAAATTGAAACTGAAAAGGTGAAGTATATACGTGAAAATTTACTAGAACTTCAACAAGTATGAAGTGATGAACCAAAAAATACAAGAATTTAGTGATAAGAATATAAATATTGAACCTGTCAAATTTAAATCCACATCTAGTACCTGCCACTTCTGCGTCCAGCTGCTGCTGCTCCTTCGCTACAGTCTCGTCCGGCTGAATCATTTTATCCACAGTGACCGCCGGGTTATCAGTATCGCCGTAGTCTATGCCCGTTTTTCTTACGCCTTTAATTAGTGAACGATAAACCAGAACAAACGAAGACAATCCTGCAAAAGCTATAGTCCCAGCCACCCCAAAGCCTGCGATGGCGAATGCGAAAACACAAGCAGCACCAAACAACAGAGGACTAAATATCAAGAGCAGCGGAGAAGTTACGACCAGAATTATCAAAGAAGTCAGAAAGCTGAAACCCATCATCCCCAAAAGTGGGCCTTCTACTGCTATTCCAGCCAGTGTTGCCAGAATCAACGTCCTTCTGCTCACTTGCTGGGGATTTACAATATCCATCATTTGCCCGTTTTCAGCCATACTCTTTTTTTGTTTTATTACAGTTCTCTCATAAAGTGGGAAAAAAGTTTTCTCGATTCTTGTTGATTGCAGTGGCACCGATACTTCGACGGAAGGTAATATGATGCTCTCATCGTATTTGAACAATAGCAAAAGGATTTGAAACAGGGCACGTGTCTGCTTTTTCCTATACGTGTTGCTTAGCAAGTAGCCTTTAGCCTCGTCCCTTTTGAACTTATCGCCCGCACTTGGACTTTATAGGTGCAAAGGTACGATTTTTGGGATAGGATTCTATATCCAGTGTAGCTGACCAGAGCATACTTTGATTGCTTATCCAATGTAAGAATACGCAAATAGGCGGTAACATATAAACAATTCCTCCTTCAATTGTAAGTTATGTAACACTTTTGTCTTAATCTATTTATAAAATAAATAAAAAAGATAATAACTTTTTTATATTTAAAATAAATGAATTTTAAAAATTTTATTTTACTTTTTAATGAATGAAATTATTTATAGCAACAAATGTTCATGACTTATTTTATGTTATAATTTTCAAATATCTTTCTTCCTTGCGTGAACATCATCTCTTCTTTCCGTCAAACAAAGCCACAAGAAGTAGGAAACAGAGAATAACAAAAAGAAAAATAATCAATAAGTCATTTTACTATTCGGAGGTACTAAAAATTTTGTACTTTAATGTATCATTAATCATACATAAAATTAATCATGGCCGTCAAAATTTATTGGTCTTTTTGACAAAAGAAATTTACAGAGAAGAAAGTTATTATGCGCGGTATTGTGAATATCAGTACATACATACACACATATTATGGCTGACGCTGAACACGGATGGTTCTCAGTCAGAGGCGAAGCCACCGAGATTTAAAATTTGAGTTCAGAATTCAAGTGCTTTAAGTCACTGAATTCAAATTAATAATATATACATATTAAATACAAAGTTTTTTGATATCAAAGTAGTTAGGCAAAAATTATATATTGATAGAGAAAAATGTTGTGGTGACGACACGATTCTCTCTCGGCGCAGGTTACTCTAACGTGCACCAGCCATGGGGAGGAGAGCTTGTGTACCATCTCAGAAGGCGTTAATGGCAATATCGGCATCAACACAGGCCAAATTCCTAGCAGGAACGAGTGCTAACACTGGATCGAAGCAGGGAAGAATAAATTCTCCAAACAATTCCAATGAAACGGTAACCAATGCAACAGTAGAGGACATTGCAAATGGAGAGAAATTGAAGTAGAAGCAAGCGATGAATATGTGGAATGAAGCTATCCACAACCCAAGGAATGAAGGACATGGTAACTCTCCTGGTAATGGAAGGTAATCATGGGCGGATGAAGTGGAGGAAGAATTAGGGCTACCGAAAAAGAGGAATTCAATTTGGGATGAATTCGACATTGCGAAGCTTTCCAATGCTGGATTCAAATTGAAATATGTTCAACCTAAGCTACATGGTGAGTCTCGTGTAAGTGCAATTCAACTAGAAGACATTTCTAGTGAAATTGAGTATTGGCAGAATGTGATAGTTTGCTATGTACTAGGTGCACATCCTCCTTTTGCAGTGATTCAGGGATATGTTAAGAAGTTACGGGCATGATATTAAAAAAATCTCAATGCTTAAAAATGGAGTTATACTTATAAGGTTTGACTCTGCTGTAGCAAAACATGAGGTATTGAATATAGGGATCTACCACTTTGACAATAAACTTTTTATTGTAAAAGCATGGAACCCAGATTTAGAATTCACTAGGGAAGAATTGCTCAATATGCCAATTTGGGTGAAATTCCTAGGCTTTGACTTCAAGTATTGGAGTCCTAAAGGATTGAGTAAAATAGGAAGCTTAGTTGGGAGACCTTTAATGGTGGATCTAAACATTGAGAAGAAGGTAGGACTACAGTTTGCAAGGATACTAGTAGAGGTCGAGCTGGATGCTCATCTAACTGATATAGTGTTATTTAGAAATGAGAAAGGTCAGCTCATTGAACAAAGAGTGAGCTATGATTGAAAACCAACTATGTGTACATATTGCCATGCCTATGGGCATGCAGAGGAGGTATGTAGGAAGAAGAATAAGCAGTTGCTCAACATGATAAGGCAGTGTCAACAATAGAGTTAGTGCAGAAGCAGCGGGATAATGAAGAAAGGGAGATAAAAAAAGGATAAGGAACAGACATAAGTGCTTCAGAAACAAGCATCAACTAGTTATGAATGGATCACCCCTCTAAGAAATGGAAGAGACCCACCTAAACAGAATCTACAAATTGAAAAGTCCAACTCTTATCAAATTTTGGATAAGCCTGCAAATGTCAGTCTTGTACAAACTGCTATCAAAAGTGCGAAAGGGAGAGGAGGAACCATGCCCCGTACTGGGAATGGTTAACCTATTGTGTTGGAATGTTAGGGGCTTAAATATCCCAAATAAGTATAAGGAAGTTAAAATCTGTTGCAATGAAGTTAAGGCTGGTATAGTAGGTCTGTTAGAAACAAAAATAAAGAAGAATAAGATTGAACAAATTGCTGATAGTTTGTTTGGAGGTTGGCATTATATTACCAATCTTGAAGCACACTATAATAGTAGAATATGGTTGACATGGAGATAGGATTACTATGATGTAGTTCCTACAAATATTACTTCCCAAAATGTGACTTGTGAGGTGACTTGCATTCCACTACAACTGACTTTTCTGCTCACAGTGGTATATGCCTTCAATACAAGATAAGCAAAAAGAGAGTTATGGGATACTATTATGCAATAACATGGAGTTTGTTCTAGACCTTGGCTGATATTAGGAGACTTTAATGCAGTATTAACATATGAGGATAGAATAAGAGGTAATCAAGTCACTTGGGCAGAAGTGATGGAGTTAAGAAATTGTGTGGATTATTGTTGTTTGATTGAACTTCCTCAACAGGGCAACAGATACACTTGGAATGATAAAAACTCTGAACAAAGAATATTTTTCAAGATTGATTGGGCTTTCATCAATGACAAATGGCTTGATATAATGCCAGCATGTCAAGCCAAGTTCCTACTTGAAGGAATAGGTGATCACTGTCCCATGTAGTTTACTTTAGAAGGGATTAACACAAGAAGGAAGAAATATTTTCAGTACTGCAATGTATGGGATCAGCATCCTTTGTTTGACGTCACTATCAAGGCTGGGTGGGAGGTGCAGATTAAAGGGTGAAAAATGTTTGAGAGTTGTAAGAAGATTGAAGTTGCTAAATAAAGGACTGAAGCAGCTAAATTCAAAGTACTTCAAGGACTTAGTAAATGAAGCAGAAGAAAGCATGGAGGAACTCAGGAGGATACAAGAGAAGCTGCAAGAAAATCCACTAGATAAGGGTATGCAGCAAAAGAAAAGAGAGGTGTATCTACATTTTAGAAAGATTTCATATATGGCAGAAATCTACTTATAACAGAAAAGTAAAGCTACTTGGCTAAGATTGGGAGATGGCAACACAAGGTAGTTTCATGATATGATTAAACAAAGGAGAATGAAATTAGTTACAACACAGATAAGGGATGAACAAGGCAATTGGCATAATGATCCAGATGACATAGCTTAGGTATTTGTAGACTATTATGATAAATTAATGGGAAAGACCACAAATGCTAGAGTTAGAGCTTTCAACAACTTTATGAAAAAGTGGGGGTGGGCATAATACCAACCGAACCGAAAAAATCGGTCGAACCGTAAATTTTGGTTTATTCGGTTTCGGTTTATTCGACTGGTTTGCTGTTTATAGTTTTTAAAATTTCGGTATTCGGTTCAGTGATCGATTTTAACAGTTCGATTTTCGATTAAACTGAAAAAACCGAAATTGTTTTATCAGCTTTTGGACTCTTAGTCCCTTACCGTATTACTCTTTCTTAGTCTTAAAGCCCAAAACTAATTCTCAACCTAAAGAAGTCCAATCCATTGGGTGTGTCAGACCTATAGCTTGTCATCTTGTCTAAGATCGACATATCTTTTATAAAAAAATATGTACTGCAGGAAATTTGAACTATCTGAATAATTGTCACGCCCCAAAATAGATTGCGACATGGCCGGTACCTAGTGCCTACCAACTTGCACCGAGCGAACCATTATTGCATAATACATACCCCAGCTTGTAATTGTGTAGCTCAATCCATTTAAGTAATTACAATATTATATGAGAGAAATAAGATAAACTTCATTAACAATAAAAGTTCATAAAAAAAAAAAAACTAGACATAAGCAAAAATGTCACCCGCAATATCATATGAGTACCCATTCCCCTAAGATAATATAAACCCTCTATGAAGCCTCTATGACGCTACGAATAAAGTAATAAAGTTACGGAGCTTGTCCACACTATAAAAATATATACAACTGAAATATTGTGGTCCCACGAGTACGAAGGTGGGCTCACCAAAAGAGAGGAAACTGTGGGAACTCTAGTATGTGCGCTGACCGCCTTGCACTCGACTGTCTGCTAAACCTGACACCATTTAAACAAACGATGCTTGAGTATTAAAATTCTCAGATATGCGTCATAGCCGCCACTAATGTTGGTATAAGAGTTATACAAATTATAATCTATATAATAAGGCAAAAGATAAATAATCTCGAATAAATTAAGGAAGATAAGGTACATAGAATCACAATAAAGGATAAATTTGCAAGAATAATAATTTAAGTTTTATTCATTTAGACCTCTTTCATAGGTCCAATATCTCATTAGTATCGTCCTCATTATCTAGTATCTCAATATCAATGGCATACATAGTGTTGGAATACATCGGGATGCTATCCACGAATATTGTCGTACCATCCCCAAAAGGTTAGGCCAATGTGTACAGTCAAGGATCCAAGAAGGTTGTCGTACCACTCCCGCACAGCTAGACAAGGCATATATTTTTTATTTCATCATTTTTTCTTTTAATGGACATCAGCCGAAAATTACGTTGTTATGTAATACATCAAGGATCCAAAAAGGTTGTCGCACCGCTCCCGCACAGCTAGACAAGACACATTTTTTTATTTATTCATCTTTGTCCAAACCAAGAGTAGGCCATGAAAGCCTATCCCTAATGTACACGGAATATCATCCAACTATAATTCGAAGCCAAGAGTAAATTTGATAATACACAAGTAACTAGGAGCTCGACATACCTTGAAGTCGCTCTAAGTTAGCTAAAGCTCGCCTCGATAGAGTTCAATCTACATAATATATCATATATGGGTAGTGAGTTAATACTCAAAACATCCTAAAATCCCCAAATATTTTAACCCAAGATTGACTTATTTCAAGATTCACCCCAAACAAGAATCCCTAGGTCCCTAAATTCTTAAAATTAATTCTTATATGTGGTCTATATCACAAACTATATATACTAAATAATTTCTCTTATATATATATATATATATATATATATATATATATATATATTAGAGGGAGCTCATGGATACAACAACAACCCAGTATAATTCCACTAGTGGGGTCTGGAGAGGGTAGTGTGTACACAGACCTTACCCCTACCCTGGGGTAGAGAGGCTGTTTCCAAATGACCCTCGGCATCCTTCCCTCCAAGAACTCCCCACCTTGCTCTTGGTGTGACTCGAACTCACAACCTCTTAGTTGGAAGTGGAGGGTGCTTACCATCAGAGCAAATACCTTACAGAGAAACTAGAGATGATTTTCGATCTCTTACTGTTACTGCCACTTGATCTTTAAGAACTTGATCGATTGTAAAACTTTCACTTTATCCAAGCCCCTCCTTCGTATTTCCAGTAGCTAAAAGGGGAGAATGCCTACCTTAGCGTCAAGGAGAAGCCAAAAGAAGGTCTTGGTTCTCTCTCCCTTATTTTATATTTATGTAAGTTGTACCCCTCTTTCTTTTTAGAGTTTCCAAGGAATTGAAATATTAATTTAATAACTAAAAATAATTTTACAAAAGATATGTGGTATGCTGCCAAAATTTTCAGCAGTGGCCACGTGAGGGACTTAGTTCCCGTTCTAAGAATAATTAAGACCCCATTGGGCCCACCACCACTTATACTCATATTTCTTATTATATACTTCATTAATCAACACTTATGTAATGTTTATAATCATAAAAACTGCTGCTACAAGTTAATTTAAGAACCTCAAACATGACTGTGATCTCGCTATTTTATTATTCTTCCGAGTTATACACCAAATAATTGTATCCATGTTCTAACCATTTTTTTTTTCATAACTCAACGTGACGTCCTATACCCATTTGTGTCACTAAAATCACGTTATTAAGCTAGTAATTATCCTATTTAAAGCCAAATATTCATTGGACTTTACAATAATGGATTTGTATATGCTAGTAACAAAGAGAAATTAACTACCAAAAATCACATAAATACATAAAACTAAAAGACTATCACGGAATATCAATAAAAAGAAAAACACAAAATGACAACAAGTAACAATTCCAATCTGAAACTTATCAAATAAAAGTTACTTCTTACTTTTCAAAAGAATGAAAAATTCGAATCATGCCAGATTAATGTATTTGGTATTAATCAAGCTCGCACCAATACAAGCTTAACGCAAGATACTGCTAATACTATTTTCTTTTCTGTTTTTGTAATGTAGAATAATTTTTCTTGTATAAAGATTCTTATCTTTTTCGTATATTTGATGGGATTTGTTATTTCTTTTGTCTTTTTTGTCAACGAGAAATCTATTTTCATTGTTTCGTAATATTTTTTCCATGGCTTGAAACCGAAAAATCGAACCAATTAAACCGAACCGAACATGAATAAACCAAATTGAATCGAAGTTGTTATGGTTCGGTTTTTATTATTAAAATCATAAATTAAAACCGAATAAACGGAACCGAACTTCTACAAAACCAAACCGACTGATGACTAACCCTAATGAAAAGAGGGCCAGTGCTACCCTTAGAGTAATAAGTAAGCTTTATCAAACCTTATTTGGGTAAAAGAAGTCAAAGAAACAATGTTCCAAATTGACAAAAATAAGAGTCCTGGACTAGATGGCTTTGGTGGGTTCTATAGATTAGCATTGAGGAATTGTAGGAGGAGACATCACTGAAGCTATCCTAGAGTTCTTTGAGAATGGTCAACTCTTGAAACAACTGAATACAACCAACATTGCACTGATTTCTAAGGTGGATAAGCCTGAGTATGCTAGTCAGTACAGACCTATTTCATGTTGCTATGTCTTGTACGAGTGTATCTCTAAGATGATATGCAACAGATTGAAGCATGCCATAAGCTACGTTATGGCTGACAATGAAGCTGCATTTGTTCAGGGTCATGATACATAATGTGCTAATATGCCATGATCTATTGAGGCATTACAGTAGAAAGACTTCTGCAAGGCATCTTATGAAAATTGATCTAAGGAAGGCTTATGATATGGTGGACTGGGGATTTTTTGAGAAAGTTCTGATTTGGTTTGGGTTCCCATAGAGATTCATTCACTTGATTATGGTATGTGTAACAACTACCGAATTCTCTATCAAAGTAAATGGTGAAGGACATAGTTATTTTGAGGGCAGGGGGGACTAAGGCAGGGAGATCTTATGTCTCCTCTACTATTTGTGATAGTAATGGAATACCTGTCCAGAGTTCTATCAACTATGAGTGAACTCCCAAATTTTTAGTTTTATCCCATGTGCAAACAGTTGAAGCTAACACATTTGATCTTTGCACAGGATCTCATGATCTTCTACAAAGGTAATCTGGCATCAGTTACTAGGGTGGTTGAAGCTTTAAATCATTTTAGTGAGGTACCATGACTTATTGCTAATTAGGATAAATCTAATATCTTCATTGCTGGGGGTGGATGAATTGACAAAAAAATAGTTGATAGCAAAAACAGGATTCACCCAAGGTTCTTTCTCAAATAGATATCTTGATCTTCCCCTTTCATCAAAGAAATGGAACAAATTGGACTGCATTCAGCTAGTACACAGAATAACCAAGAGGATAAAAGTCGGCTAGTCAAAGCAACCTTCATATGCAGGCAGACTGCAGGTGGTTAACTCTGTGTTGTTTTTCATTTATAACTTCTGGAGTGCAGTATTTATTTTATCTCAGACAATAGTTAAAGAGGTGGATAAAATATGTAGGGATTACCAATGGGGGAGTACTGAAGACAGAAAAAAGCTGGCACTAGTGTCAAGGGAAAAAATATGTTTTCCTAAAAAGTTTGGAGGGTTAAATGTTAAAGGTAGTAAACTATGGAATGTGGCCTATGTTGGGAAATTATTATGGCAACTTCTCAATAACAAGGAAGCTCTATGGGTAAAGTGGGTGCACGGGTTGTATATTTCGGCCGATTGCAGTTGGTTTTGGAAGAAAGTTAACTCTCTGAAGGAGGACATGCATGGGTGACTTATACAAGGTGCTTACACTTTGAATAAGGACGGTGGCTATTCAATAACTAGGAGCTACATTGCCTTATTAGGGGAATGCAAAGACTGCATATAGCAGATTTGATACGGAGTAGGATAGCACAACCAAAACACAAGATTTTTCTGTGGCTTGGAGATCAAAGTTGACTGCTTACAATGGAGAGGCTAGTGAAGTTGCAGATACATGTAGAAAACCTGCATTGCTGTTTATGTGAAAAACAAACAACTGAAACATATCAATATCTTTTTGTTGAATGCAATTGGATAAAAAATGTTCGAGCTGAGGTTCTGCGATGGCTCGGTGTACAACTGCAAGAAGGGGACATAACGAGCACACTGGACAACATTAAAAAGAAATGTTGGAAACAGTTAAAGAAAGAAGTGGTTGCAATAACTATGGGAGCTGCTTTCTATCATACGTGGAAGGCAAGAAATTGGAAGATATTCAAAGGCGCATGTATAAATACTGCATAGGCGGTGGAGCAGATAAAGAAGGAAACATTAGTTAGATTAAATAATATACAAATGTCAAAGAAGGCAAGTAGATGTAGAGATTTCTTGAGGAGTATCACTAATGTATAGAATTTGTGTTGTATAGAATTTGTGTTGAGGCAGAACATTCATAGTACCCTTCTGAGAAGGATTATGAGGTAAAGTGCTCTTTAGGCGCGATCATTTGATTGATCAATGGTAATATTCATAATGTTACCATAAAGAATACAGAATTTGAATTAAAGTTACTATATTCGCCCTTACTTCTAGCTCTGCCCCGGTATTCGGTCAAGATTCTATGCTAGTGTCACTTTTTTGTTTTTCGAAGGTTCTTTTATGGGCATGCCTCATTTTTTTCTTTCCTTGTAGAAGTGGATGTCAGCATCAACACACACTTGAAGACTGTCAACTGTAAGTGATCATGAAAGCGTTCAGAGGCAACGATATTTTTGAATCTTGAAAGTTGGCTTGTGGACTAAACTCCTCAAGTCAAGCCCAAAAAGTAAACACCAGTTATTGCACCATTTGAAATTGCATCCCTGGCCATGGCATCACTTCCTCATGGTGAAAATTTATATATCTTTCCATGTATTCACTAGAGATCACTAAATATTTATCTTGTACGTTAAAGCCAGCTGAAGAATGTTGCATTATCACCCCTTAAATTCAAATGGACATGTTTGAACTAGTAACATGCAAGATGAGCAGCGCACTTAGATGCTTTTGATCAATAGAACAAGAAAAGAAGGAAATAAATATTATGAAGAGCATCTATTTCCAAGGCTCGGATAACTAAGATACAGGACCAATAGATCATCATTATGCTATGGGAATTTCCAGCAGATTGATCAAACATGGTGCAAAGCTACAACATCAGGACCTCAACGACAGATATCGCCCCTAAATTCAAAATATGAGTAACTGGAAAAGAGAGACTCAGTTTACAAGTCTTCACCTCATCCAATGATTAGTCATACATCACAATGATCATCTCGCACTTTTCATACTTCAACCCTTACGTCCCAAGCGTATAACTCTTTGTCAGGAACTCTAAGAGCCAGAGTGACTAATCCAGAGGATTTTTCATAATCAAACTGTACTTCTTTATCGTCCACTTGTATTCTTTTAGGCTTCACAGGTGAATAGGCTCCAAACATGCCACATCCGCGAACCTTCATAGAGATTATTCCACTTCCCTCTGTTTCATACTTCAACTCTTTGATTGCTCCTCCTGAATTGAACATACTTACAAGTCCAATCGGAGCAAATTTAGATCCGGTTGACATTTCCTTGATTGGAACCACCGTAAAGACTTCATATTCTCTCGCCTTAAGAGTAATTGGAAAAGATGAATTTTTTGGAAGATGGACCAAGTCTCCTGCAGTGGGTAATACAATCAATCAGGTCAACAGAATGCACTTTTCCTCTAGATGAAAGCAGTAAGCATAATAAAAGAAAATGGTATTATTAGAAAACAAATTTAGAATAAAGGTTCATACTGTGGAGATGAGAATAGAGAATGGCATCCCCAGTCCATCCATCATGAGCAATCCTAGGTAAGTAGTCGACATCATTAGCACGGACAATCCCAGTTATCGTCTCTGGTTGATAATCGTGGATTAGATTCTTCTTGCCGACCTTACACCACCCAGCTCCTTGACAGTTAAACACACCAACTACTCCATTGAAATCATTCAGATTCCAAATCTTCAATAGACTGCACACATAAGGAAAACAAATACAGTACAAACTATATCACTGTTGAAAAAGATGTTTTTTTTTTGGAAGAAGACTGTGGTCAAGCAAACACCTTATCCCATCTCTTGCTGGATCAGAAAACAAGCAGTCTCTAGTTGGCCTTCCAGGAAGTTTGGCGCGTAATATGGAACCATCTGGAAGAACAAGCTTCTTTAAAAGATTAAAATCGTGCTGTCCAGGCTTGTCACTGCATGGCAATAGGCAGCCATGAGAAAATACTAACCAAAAGTTAACTGTTTACCAAATAACTAAACCATGTATAAGGGTATAAGCAGCACCTGACATAAATAGCACAGCCTCCAACAGCCCGCGCTGCTCCATGGTATTCAGCCATTGGGTGCACACTCTTAACATATTAAGACAAAGTTAATAAAGAATTTTAGTCAGTTGAGCTTTTTTAGGGGAAGTTGGGAAGTATATACACTAAGGAACCAAAAATCATGTCATCAACTCACATGAAACATGTCCCAATCAGGCTGCATGAACTCCCCAAGGAAAATAGTATTATAAGCCACTGATGCTATGTGAATTGTGTGTGATGCAGGATCTCTCGGCCAGAAATCATCTGAAGCTCTAATAACAGCTGAGCGTTTCGCACTACACAATACAAGAGAAACAAAACCAAATCAGAATTTCGCAAAAGTGTCTATTCACAATAAGTACCCGTTTCTTAGAACAACTAGTCCAGCTTCAATTTTATAAGCTATATATATATATATATATATATATACATATATATANGGTAGAAGCAAGGTATGAGTGCAGTTCATTATAGAAATTATAGACTTTCTCAGGGTTCACTAGACCAAGACCATTCTTTGTCAAGCTATCCAAAGCATCATCAGGTTCTTGTGACTCAACCCCAGGGGATGAAACTGGGAAAGATAACTTGGATTCATAGTGATCCATCTCAGGGACCCCAGGTTTCACACCGCCCCAGTAACCGGCGAGCGCATGCCACACGTACACATACCTAAAGTACAAAGGTTGAGATAAGGAAACAGAAAAGCAGATAACTAAAAGGCCAGGACCTAAAAGTTGACGATATTGAAGAGCATACTTTAAATTGTGTTGGTCTTTGATATTGGTAACAACATGCCGTAGTCCCATTGCAGGATCATTAACCCTATGTCCTTCCTTTCCATCTTTTTGAAACTTGTGGTTCTCTTTGATATGAGTTAGCCTGTTAGCAAAGCTGAACGAGCCAAAGAACGAGCAGAACATTTAGCCAGTGGAAAGCAGCTCCTCAATCAAAAACTGAGAAAGAATAGAATGACGATGATATTAAATTGGTTCGATCTACTCACTTTGCATGGTTATCAGCAATGGATTCAATACTATTGGGATCCACACCCACTGATTGCCATCCATCATCAATGAGTACAAACTTTGGAGGAATACCTCCTTTCTCCAAGCTGCAAAAGCCATAAAAGTTTAAGCACTATATGCAAAACAAGAATTTAGATTCATAGGCAATATCTAAAGATTAAAGTTGTGACCTCTCTAATCCTTGCTTCACTCCCTCGGCAGTAACAGTAGTATAGAAAGCATCCCATGTACACCATCCAAACCAGTTCAACATGTCTGGCATCTGAACCATGACAAAAACATGCCTTCATATATATCCAGAAGAAGTAATGATGCCAATAATACTTGCAGCAGTCCAAAGACATTCAAACTGTACCTTCTTTCTATCACGGTGGCAAAATGTCTGCAAATGCCTCTCCACCGTCCTGTGTTGACAAAGTATTTCAACCATCAACTCCGATTCAATTAGGTAATGTCTATAACAGACTCATACATATAAAATCTCAAGTGGAAAGCCCAAGCTTTCATACGTTGTGCCATTATTACTGCAAACTTCAATTCGTGCATCCCACATAAATAAATTTTGATGAATACTTGGTAAAAAAAGCATATAAATATCAAATTTAGATATTTATACCCTGTCGAGTTAAGGGACCATGGCATATATATCTGTACTAGATTCCATTTGGGTAGAGATGAAAATAGCACTATGTCGGCCAAAGGTTCTATCCATCTGCTCTTTCTCAAGACATTTCTTTAGCAAAGCCCCCTTTTATCAGTTACAACCATAAAAGACATGTTGACAGATATAAGTTAAAACCAAACAGTACTACTGCCAATATATGCAAATCTATATGAGAGGACAATGGATGGAACATTCGAATAAGGAAACTTCAAGAATAAAAACAATCGAAGAAAGGACATACTTGACTGCATTAGTGATGACATCAAAAGGGTCCGGGCCACCTGCTACGAAAACCAAATGGCTTCCTTCAAAATCTTGCACAGCAGGATCTCCTGCAATCAACCATTACCATTAGCATCATTGAGAATTGCTAAAGACCATTCCACAAAACCCAAAACACATTAATAGAGATCATCCCAAAAAAGAATAGATCAAAATACTCATACCACTTTCCAGGCATATTTCTAACTCGTCGTTTGAGTTCCCTTGAAGAACAGCCCTAAAATCTCCCTCCAGAATAGGCAAGAATACAACATACAATGCTGAATTTTTGCGGTTGTCTTGATCAAAATTTGAACCATCATTTCCTTCCACAATCAAAAATTGGGTCTCAAATGGTATGTCTTGTCCGGATGTGCCCATCCTCTGTGTCATCCACCATAACTTGAATCGGAAAACACACATAAATCTCAATCCTCTGCAAACCGTAAGCAAGGATTCAACAAGTAAATAATTTTCTAGTTAATACCAAAAAGTAACTCAAAATCCAAAAAAAAAAAGGATGCAATCTTTACAACCAAAAATTGCAAATTTTACATAATAACTCCAAAGATTCTCAAAATTTAGATTCAAAATAGGGGAAGCCTTAATGAAATTAAAATATAAAAATCCTCCATAAACCATAGGTAATCATTCGATACGTAAATATTTTCTTTGTAAAAACCCAGATGAAAACTCAAACAGCAAAAATCAAAATGCAAGCATTGAAAAAAGAGGTGCAATCATGACAACAACAAAAAGGTGCAATCTTTACAGCTAAAAAAATGCAAGCTTTACATAAGAACTCCAAACAATCTCACTACTTAGATTAAAAACAGGGTGGGATGCTTTAAATAAAGTTAAAACTACTGCAATCCTGTGCAAATCATAAGCAAGCATTCAACACGTAAATATTTTTCTCGTAAAAATCCACAAATAAAAAAAAAACAAAATCAGAATGCAATCTTAAAAAAATGTTGCGATCTTTACAACAAAAAAAAAAGATATGCAGTCTTTACATTAAAACTCCCAAAAAATCTCAACACTTAAAATAAAACAGAGGGAATGAAGCTAAAACATAAAAGCCATCACCATAAATAAAAAAGAAACCACTTTGATTTATTAATGAAAATTCAAATTTTCAATCTGCGGCCCCAAGAACGAAAAAAGAGGGGAAAACTTAAAACAGGCAGAGGAAAAAGCTAAGAAGAAGAAGAACATACTGGAGTTTGCCAACAGGGAAAACTCTGCGACTACCAATTTTATCGGAATGAACACCAAGGAATGCCCCATTAGTGAAAGCTTCACCTGTTGGCTGTGTTACAATTATGTTTTCATTAACATCTGCGAGAATGCTCTGTCCCAACACATTCAGCTTCCTTTCAGCTACACAAATTCCTGCTCCCACTGTCATCTTTCTTTGTCTTCCTATAACCCAAAAAAAAAAAAAATCTACAGACACCGCCCAACAAAAATCTGTCTTCCTAAACCAAGAAAATCTACAAAAAGTATGATCTTAGCTATATAAGACCGAAAATAAAAAGAAAATCTCAAAAACCCCACATGAGAAAAGCAATGACAGGATCAAAACCTGTAGAGATTGATAAATATGTAAGATTTTTGAGAGTTGAGAGGTGTGTGTGTGTGTGTGTGGAGAAAGAGAAGGTTAAGAGGTTGAGAATTGGCCGGGGTTTGTGCTTTTTATACAGATTTTTTAGGCTACGGGAAAACCAAACCAATGTTGGTTCATTACAGAATTATGAGCTATTGCCAAATGGTAGGTGGGACCAGCTACACAGTTACCAATCCAATCTGGCTCTTTAATTATATTTTGCGTTTTTTCATTTGATTTCTTGATCTTGTCAAAAAGAGTTGGCTCTTTTTTTCTTTCTATTTTCTACTCTCTCTATTTCTTTCTTTTTTCCTTTTTTTTATGGCGGGAAGCAACATAATGAACTGGAAATATCTTCCAGATAATTTAATTCATTTATTTTAGGTGATAATCCGATTATGTCATAAAGCATGTTTGATTTTCATGTGAAATTAGTTGGATTTTTTTTTCTTTCTATTTTCTACTCTCTCTCATAAAGCATGTTTGATTTAGAAAAGTGGGTTGCTCTAGTGGTGATCACACTCCACTTCCAACCAAGAGGTTGTGAGTTCGAGTCACCCCAATAGCAAGATGAGGAATTCTTGGAGGGAGGGAACCGAAAGTCTATCGGAAATAGCCTCTCTACCCCAGGGTAGGGGTAAGGTCTGCGTACACACTACTCTCCCTAAACTCCACTAGTAAGATTATAATGGATTGTTGTTATTGTTGATTTTCATGTGAAATTATTTCTTTTTAGTCTATCCCAAGAAAATAATAGGAGTTCATATGAACTTATAGCCATAAAGAAACATATTTTAGACCAATATTTATTTATTTTTTTAAACTTTGTGTCTAGCCTAATAAGGAACGATGGTGAAGGGAGTAAAGTTTAATAAAGGTTATCCGCTATAGTAAAGTTTTTTTAATTAAAAAATCCGATGAATTACAAAATGTTTAAGGGAAAAATAAAGGCTATTATTTTTTTTCCAAGATGGGCCTTCGGAAAACAGTAGTATATGGAGTACTTTATAACCTTGTTAGCAAATTAACAAAAAAATGTATCTTTTAGGAAAGCAAAAGGATAGGTGTCCATTAATTCTTAATATAAAAGCTTGAATTTTAAATTGCTTTTACGTTTGAAAATTAGAACATTCACACTATAAAAAAAATTGGAAAATCCTCAACCATCTAAGGTACTTCTAGTTCTATTATGCTATCTGCATTTTTCATTAATGGACTGGAAGAGGATCAATTCTCTTCTGGTTAGATACTGTTAACTTTCTAACCAGCTAATTAAATTGTAAAAGGCTACAAGCTAATTAGATTGTAAAAGGCTATAGTTAACTTATTTCTCATCTTTGTAAATACAAATTTTCATCTTTGTTGTTACTTTTGGGAGGCAATGTTATATAGTGAGTTATGTTGAAAGAAAAAATTCAAAATTAAACTTAACAAAATCTTATCAAATGCTAGTAATGTTTCAACAAAGATTAAAGGGGTTGATTATATCGTCAACATTAAATTGCATCTCACAAAATAAAAAGAATCAAAAAAGATATCTAAAACTATTAAACAAGTTTAAGACTTTTTATTACGGCTTAAATTTACGCCTCAAATACCATTGAGCCGTTTCTGGGTTGAATCTGTAGCTTGAAATTCATATTCAATCAGTGTAATCCAAATGGATGAGAATAGGTTGTCTGATATTTTCATAGGTTTACGTCTTTTTACTTAAATTTCCAAATATTATTACGATTTGACAAAATATGTGTGTGTGTTCAAGATAATTGTTTTCAGTTTTCGCCATGTCGCACTTTGATCTCATAAAAATCTTTTCTTTTCTGTTGCATGGTCGAATTTTTATATTTAAACAATCTTTTCTTATTTTAGCTTAAAATCTCAAATGGCACCATCTCTGTAATAGGTAAATGCCTCTTTTTTTTCCAGAGATTACCCATTGAATTTTCTGGTAGTAGAACCATATAATTTTCCTCTTATAAAATAAAATTCTACACCAAAATTTCAGTCTAATAGTATCGGTGAAAGTCTCTCACACAATAATTGTAGATATAATTCTCACAATTCTCTGATGTAATATATTAAGAAAATGTTAGGAAAAAAAAAGAAGCAAAATAATCACATTTATTTGTTAGAGCCGACACAAAAACTAAAATTAAAACCAAATTTTCCAAAGATCAAACCCCTCTTTTATTTCAACAAAGGCAAGGGAATTCATTAATTTTTTTAAAAAAGCAAGGGAACTCCGTGCATCAATTACAAAGTGGAATTAACTTCTCACGAAAACAGATTAGATTTACAGCTTAATTTAAAGACATAAATTGAAGGTTTTACAGCTTAATTTAAAGAGAGTGAATGTTGGCTCAACAAAAAATCATACACTATTGATAGATAGTAGTTAAGCTCCTCATTTAGTTAATTTATAATCAAACATTATGTCGGCATTTTGATTTAACAAAATGTATGTGTTTGGTATTATTTCAAATTAATTTGAAGACCTTTTTTGTTTTCATCAATTACTGCTCAGAAAGGGCAGCTGAAAATATCAGGAGGAAGACAACAAATTGAATTAGCAATCACGAATCAGATGAAAATATCTGCTGTCTTTTAGTTTTGGTAATTAAACAAAACGTGAAAAGTAGGAAAAAATATCACGGGGAATGCAACAAATTACAAAGTGTACGATTTTAATTATCATGCACTAAATTGGATTTTATGATTCTGTTTTTACTTTTAATTCCAATCAAATCATATATATCTTCAAAGTAACTGAAACGTAAATCGTAAAGACTTTCATATGACGTGTCCAAAAAATATATAAACGAAGAAATTGTGAAAGATAAGCAAATGCTGGAGACACATCAGCTTGATAAGTTTATGACATAAACACGTCATCAACGGCTCGGATCCTACTAGGATATAATGTACCCATCTCCCAAAGGTTACATCTTGTTAATAAATATCGTATATTTTTAAGTTTGATCATATGATGTCTGATTCTCAGTAATCTATTTAGCTCAAATTCCTGTCTAATAATTCCATTTCCACATCAGAAATAGTAGTATAATTATTACTGAATTCCTCCAAGCTAAGGCATATTTTAGTTCAAAACATGAAAGAGATTAGAAGAACTCTTGAGATAGCTTTTTTACACTAGTTCAATGTCAAATAAGACTAACATTTCAAACATGCTAGTTTTATCTTCTAGTAGCGGGCACAACATGAAATTATATTTTCATTTTAGTTTTACACTTAATGAGCCGCTTGAAACATGTTATTCCAGGATTATAATGATGAGATTATATTATTGGAATTAAATAATAATAAAATTATTTAGTGAATATATTTTTATTCGATATTTGATTCATTGGACTAAAAATGGGATATACATGATATAATATAAACATGTGTTTAGTTTATACTAAATAAGTTGGGATAAACTTTTATTTTTAAATATTAACCTTCGATTATTTAAGACTTTGGGGGAAGAGTCATGGAGAAGAGCATCTTTGTCATTTTAGTATTTATCCTGGAATTAATCAACCCCGGATTATTATCTCACCCTTAATGTGAGATTAATTAATCTTGAAATTGCTAATTTCGGATTCAAAAATTAGCAAGATAAAATAATGTTGCATTTAATCCGGAAATTATTATCCCTTATCCGACGTACCAGACGAAAGTATGTATCAATGTGAAAGCTCCCTTCTGATGTGTGTGTGTTATAAAGTGATTTTTAGAAAATGTTTTTTATTTTTCATTTGTATTGTTGGGTTAAATTATTGAGAAAATATCTTTCCACTAAAAGTATTTATGTCAACTAGATGCACGTCGTTTTCACTAGACCCAAATTTCCATCGATGACACACTTAAATTAATTAGGATTCTGATAAAACCAAATCTTGAAATATTAGAATTAACAAGTTCTTGGGTAGTGTGCATATTAGGGATGTACAAATGAAATCGATAAATCACAACAATCCGATAATTCGAGTCAAATCGAGATTAAAAAAATTGACTATGGCTTGGTGTTGAAAAAAAAAAATTGACCATATTTGATTTGGTTTGGTTTGGTTTTAACTAAAAAAAGTCAAACCGAAACCAAACCAACCCGACATTATATGTATAGAAGTTTTAAATATATTTAATACATAAAAATATTTATGGTAGTGTAGTTTATAAATATTTCTTAAGCTTTTTCATAATTTTATCTTTTAACGTATTATTTCAAGGTTGGTCTTATAATTTTTAGATGCTCAAATAAGTTTTATAGCCCATAAATGTTAGTAACTCAAATAAATCCTAAACCAAAATCAAATCAATTCTAATACTAATAAAAGACATTCAATTCAATTGTACTTTGAATAATAATAGTGTTGGATATCTATTTTTTAGTTTTTCCATGGTTTAGATAAAATGTATAACTTATTTTTCTTTTAATGGTTAGTCATGTAAATAATAGTACTTATTTGTCATAATTTTAAATTATGTTTGTTTTTATTATTGCTTATTAATAATATTTATTTTATGCGATTTTATTATCTTTATTGTTTAATATTTTAGTACAATGCCATGACCCATCTCATATTTATGTTATTTTATTGAAAAATACCTATATAATTTTGTCTTACTAGCATTAAAGAAATTTTTGGAGCACAAATTTTACGTTTTGTGCTATGAAGACTTTATGGAGAAAAAAATCTAAAAAAATTTGAAAACTCGAAAAACCCGAGATTAAAAAATCCGACTTTTATTGATTTGGTATGGTATGTTATTTTGATTTAATAATCTGATACAATTGGTTTGGTTTTGTAATTAAAAAATATGAACCAATCGGACTTATTTACACCCATATGATGAAGTGAATAACAATCATTCTCCAATTATTGCTCTGATCTCTCTCTCCTTTCTTATTTTTCCTTCGCTTTTCATCAATCAGAAAATGAGATCGGTAATATCTCTCTCCACTTTAAAGAAGACAAACGTATACTAATAATATTGTTGAACCAATCTCCTCCATTATTTGTTTTTCGCATATGGCTAAGGGCCCATAATTTTGTTAGAAAGACAAA